CAAAACAGTTTAATTGAAAATCATAAGTCACAAGGAGTGGATGCATCTGCGCCACTGAGAACGATTTTGAGCCATGTCACCAATTGTCTCCAGTCATCTGCTTTTAACATCCCGAGGACCCCAACCAGGAAGTCTACATCTTCCTACGTGGCTTAGACTAACTGTTGTGGATTTCATTGACTGGTGCCATATTTTCGTTTGACCGCCGCCAGCTCTTTTCCAGCCTGGCCCTATATCAGCTAATATTGCCCGTCGAGGAAGGCGATGACTAGGCATACGTAACACATTTCCTAACCATCTCAGTCGATGCAATTTCACAGTCTCGTCGACTGATTTCCCCGCCTTACCTAGCACACGACGCCTAACCTCAATATTGCTCACCTTATTATTCCACTTCACACAGGAGATAGAACACAGGCACCTATGATCAAAGACAGCTAATCTTTTCATGTCTTCTGCTCTCAATGGCCAGGTCTCACAGCCATAAAGGAGGACGGAGCGGACTGTTGAGCAGTACACACGCCCTTTGGTCGATAGTCAGATATCGCGTCTACGCCAGAGACGGCGTAAACTGGCATATGCGAAACTAGCCCTCTGTATTCGTGTTGAGATTTCGTCTGAGATCAACACGTTTGGGCTGATGGTACTTCCCAAGTAAGTGAAGCGGTCAACGCGCTCTACCACTTCACTTCCAATTTCTAATCTAGGGGTCGGTGAAGTCCAATCTTGCAGCATCATCTTACAATTTACAGGGGCGAATCGCATGTCGAACATACGAAGATTGTTGCTCAAGGTGTTCAGTAGACTCTGCATTTTGTCAGCGTCCTCGCCTAGAAGGACTAAATCGTCTCCGCATATTCTAAGTCAACGAGATTATTCCCTGGTAGCAAGTCTATCCCTGAGTCGCTGAAGTGTGTTAGGGTTAAGTCCATTAGTACGTCTATGATGAAGTTGAATAGGAATGGGGATAATGGGCATCCTTGACGGACGCCACTAGTCGTCGCCACTTCGGATGACAACTCGCCATAAGCCCTCACCTGGCTGCATGCGTACGAGTAGAGTGCCTTAATCAATGCACTGTATTTTCTTGGCATTCTCTTTACAGCCAGGCACCGCCAGAGAACCTCTCGGTCGACAGAATCGAATGCCGCCTTTAGGTCAAGAAATATAATGATTGTCGGACGCCGGTAGGAATGCCTATGTTCTAGAATCTGTCGAAGGGTGAAGATACGATCACTACACCCTCTTCCTGGCCTAAAACCTGCCTGGTTTTCTTGTGTTTGTGCCCCCCCGAGCACCACTTAGTCTACGCAGTATTATTGAGCCTAGGATTTTAGATACTATATTAGTCAAGCTAATCCCTCTGTGATTATCACAAGAAGACTTGTCTCCCTTCTTGTATATCAGGATGATCAGTGACTTACACCAACCCGATGGGACTTCCTCTGATTCCCAGTCGCTGCCTAGAACCTCAGTTAATGCAGACAGTAAACTGTCTCCACCGTACTTAAATACCTCTGGAGTCATTCCATCAGGTCCTGCTGCTTTGCCTTGCTTCAGATTAGTGACAGCTTTAGTGACCTCAGTTAAGGACGGAGGACCTGTGTCTATATCCCATTCAGGGAGGTGTTGGATGTTCAATAGTTTAAGTGTGGCTGTAGGCCAATTAAACTGCTCCCCATAGTGTTCTTCACAGGGCTCCAGTCGTCTATCCTGGGAGCTAATTATGGTGCCATTTTTCTCCGATATTGTTTCGCTTATCATTTGCCTTTTGCCACCTGTTTCCCTGATAAGCTTGAATAGTTGTCTGGTGTTGCCAATCGCCGATGCCTTTTCCATCTCTTTCGCTTTTGTCGCCCACCACTGTTCACGGTCCTTGCAAAGACTTTTTGTTAGTCTTCGTTTAAGTACCTTTCGCTCCTCATCATAATCGGAGCTCGCTGGAATCAGTCTTTTTGCGCCAATCAGTTCGGATGAGGCGGTAGAGATCCAATGGCTTTTATTAACTTTAGGTTTTAGCTTATTGACAGCTTTCACGGCTGTGTCCACAGCTAACTGTACGTTGTGCCAGGCTACCTCAGGGGAAGTCCTCAGACCTCAGAAACTCGTTTCGCTATTTCTTTCTTATATAAGGACTCAGTGTCACGATCTAGTTGGGGACGTAACTGTTTCGCTGCCGTCAGTTTATGCCCATTTAGTCGTAAGCACAAACGTGCGCGAACCAGAGCGTGATCAGAGTCTACCGAGGTTTCAGTCACGCAACAGCTTCAAACAATACATGTAAATCGTTGAGTAATGCAGGTGATCGCACATGGTTAGACAATCCCATGACGGCTATCATCACACAATACTTCATGCTTCCAGATACTCATTTCGAACTTACGAATCCTCAAATACGCACATCTGTTAGGTTTTGGGTCTAAAGATATGATGAATTTTGGGAAAAGTAACTCATTCTGACTTAACTAAAGTCACAATACTTTCACTAAATCAACTTTCTTTCAAAATTATAACAAATTTATCGACTAAAATCAAGAAGGAGCATTCGAAAAAGTGCAGTACTTATTAATATATTTCTTTGCTACACTTTAGTGTAGCAAGAATTAGTAATCAGCTTCCAACAATATGAGACATTCATACTAACTTGTTTTGTCGCTGAGTTTCAACTGCCAAACCAAAACTAAGGTTGGTGGTGAAAGTATGGGGATATCTTAGTATGAAATGCTGTTCTTGAAGTAATAATATGATAATGGAAATCAGAAGACGTAGGACATAACAGAATTCGAATGAGTAGCCATGCAGCGTTAACAGAACACATGGAAGGAAGCATTTGAGACAGATCTAAAATAGTTAGGTACACAGTCCCACCGCACTCCTAGAATACCAAACCTGTTAAATGTAAAGACATCCAAAGTAGATAAAAACAAGTAGCATGTCCAAAGTACGTCAGAAAATGAACTATAATTGTAGTTTTTTCACAAGCAAGTGATGCTATGAATATAAGGTAGGCACTGGAGAGAATGTAACTTGTGAAAAATTCCATTTCTTAAAGAAAAGTAAAATACTGAAATCATTAAAGATGAAACTGTTACAAAGCACTTGTTTGGAAACATGGTTTGACAACTTTGAACCAAAGGAAACTTCGAATCAGGCTTCTCTGGATGACAGCAAACACCTGCTCAATACGATTACAATTGAAACTTCATTAACAATATGAGCTGTTACTGAATTCAGGTTTTGCAGTCATTAGTATACAATCCACATCTTTCCTGTTAAATAAAACTCCGGATGTTATCTATATTAGTTACGCCAATGTTATACACCATACAGTTAATAAATAAGCAACAGTTTGTAAAATCTCACAACCACATCAGTGTTAATGTTACGTGTGAAAACAGTTAACACTGAAATGCATTTACTATTCAAGTAGTAATTCTTCCAATGCATATGGTTTGCGAAACTTAGCTGGAGGACTTATCAAAAGTCTGATGGATAAAGTCAAAGACAAAGCACCAATTAGGAACTACACTTTAATTGTAATCATTGGGACGATCTATTGACTGATAGGGAAAATTTAACACTTGGTTCATTGTCGAATTAGTGTCATCAGTCTCTACGTCAGAACAGGAAAATCTGGGCCTTAATTTAATGATCCCATGAGGAGCGACTTTATTTGCACTAAACCTGATACACTCATATAAGGCTGCAACTATCTATGTACAACTTTATCAAACAACAGCAATAACATAGTGAAAAGAACACTCAACATTCGCCAGATCCAGACATATTCGGTAGTTCAGTATTTTAAAATTGAAATTTTAGCAGTCAGATCCAAACGTGAATAACTTAGTTAAAGCATATATTTCAAACATGCTTTGAGCGCAACCACATATTTAAGCCTCCACAATGATATTTTGGAGTAAGTAATTTATCATTAAATTGAAATGGGCAACACAAAAACCCAAATCATCAAGATGTTTCGGGCAGGTATCTTGAGAAAGTTTTATTGCCAAACTCAGACTTCCCGAGGAAAAATGGACACGTAACCTGACTTGTGGTTCCTAACCAATTTCACCCGAAAAAGAGATCAAGGTATCAAAAGCTACTGTTTAATTAGACAGCTGATTGAACCCTCAAGCTTACAACAATTCTTAACTATGCGTCGACAATGCCTTTAGATGTTGAATGAATGTTTTATCTACCTAATATTAACAGTAAGCGCTGAATTAACTCATTTTATTCTGAAGTAATGCCAGTCAGTGCTGAATCTGGGCTAAGAGGGTTGAAACACTGCTGATTAGCGAACGCAGTAGGTACTGAGCTAATTCTGAAAATGCCTAGAATTAGCACAAAGTGCTGAATTGGTGCAAGTCCTGCTGAAAATCAGTAGAGTCTTAGTTTGTGCGTATAATCAAGCCAATTTAGAACAACTTCAGAATTTACTCATTATAGAAAGTCCAATTTAGTTCAGAATTCGCGAGATTTAATTCGGCATTATTTGAAGCTTGGGCCACGTAAAATACCGATGATCTTGTTTAAAAACAGAACAATTCCTGAAAAATATACTCCTGGACGTGGACTTCATTGTTTTTTGTTCACAGTTTAGGCACATCACAGAACATTTCACGAGTTTTAATAGCTATGCAATTATGAATGAACACGTTGTTGCACTCGGAGCATAAGGCCATTACACGTGCACGATAGCAAACAAAACACACTATTAATTAAATTTCTTCAACTACGATTACATTAAGAGAAAAAAAACCGTATCCAACGTGATAAAATGAAGAAAATATAACTTGCCGACTTGGCGTATCTTTATAGTTGCCGCCATTTTTGTGAGTAATTTAAATACTTTAATCAGTATATAAAATTTCACTACATTCAAGTTGAAAGAATTAGACATCATATAATAGTCGAAATATTTTGTTCAATTGTATCAATTTTCTTGCCTAGCGCCTTTTTCAAATTGTGCGATGTCCAGTTGAAGTCCGGATGTAATGGGGACTAACATGCAAACAATTAAGTGTGTTGTTGTTGGTGATGGTGCAGTTGGCAAAACTTGCCTACTCATATCGTATACAACCAACAAATTTCCGACTGAATACGTCCCGACTGTATGGTTAACTTCGTCTAATATCACATTTTTAGGTTTTCGATAATTATGCCGTTACGGTAATGATTGGAGGAGAACCGTATACTTTGGGACTTTTCGATACCGCTGGACAAGAAGACTACGATCGATTGAGGCCTTTGAGTTATCCGCAAACTGACGTTTTCCTTGTCTGCTTTTCTGTTGTAAACCCTTCGTCTTTTGAGAACGTGAGAGAAAAAGTGAGTATCGTAAATAATTCTTTTTACTTGGTCAGTCATTCTGATAACCTTAACTGATTAAAATGTAAGTACTGCTTCCGTTGTTGCGTGGTTTAGGAGTTCTCTCGAAGTTAGGAATGCAATAATACAACAATTGTTCTGCAGATATGTCTAGTCTGTTCATTCATACCAGCTATTTGATTTTATATAGCAATGTGCTCAGTAACCTTGTGAAGGTGGTGGCTATTGACTCAAGTGAGTTATCAACCAGTTAACCTTTATAAGGGCAATTTGGATAGCAACATGAATAAATTGAATCTCGAAGAAAACGTCAGACGGAATCGCAATCTCTAAAATGCCCAGAAATTGTTTCTTCGACTTTTATGTAAGGTGTTTGTACTGAATCAGTCCAAATTGTTTTGCAAAATAACCGTCTCATGCTGACACTAATTTATCTTTTACATGTTTCTGACCTCTAAATCCCAGCTGTTTTTAATGAGCAATGCTGATGTGTGTGATGCTGAACCGTGAATTCTAACTGAACACAATATTTTTTTTGTTTGGATGATTAAAATGATGTTCATTATCAATATGTCAGTGCATTTTCATCTTGACTGGTTAGGGCCCGTATGCCTGGTTGTTTTCTTAGTAAGGTACGTCCAATCTTATACAAAATGGACTACAAGTATAACCTAGAATTTATAACTCTTTGGTCAATATCTGGAGCTTACGATGATAGTGTGGCTCACTGTTTTAGGCACTTGGATTCTAACCAATATGTCGCTGCTCTGAACTCATTTTGACGTATATTTCTTTTGAAAGCCCGATAATATCATCAGTTCGTATCCCACTAGACGTCACTAATGTCAATATCTGTATCCAAAGATTGCTAACTCTATAATCTCTTACCAATTAAAGCTTAGTTCTCAAACTCTTTTTTGTGTATTTATACTCGTGGTGGATTGTCTTCGTAAAACCTAATAATTAAAATACCTGCTTTTCTTGTAACATTACACCACAAACTAGTGTTCCTGCATAGTCATCAATGACTTTCCATATGCTTGTCTGTGTTTACTATGTGTATTTATTTTGAGGTTGGCTTTTCATCTACGTAAGCACCAAGTATTTCTAAAGAACACATTAGTTTGTCATGTGCTTTTCATTATTATACTGTTCAGGTTATGGCTGACGATCTCACTTTGTAACGTTGAATTTTGCACAAGATGTATCATTTCAAGTTATTAAGCTCAAAGAAAACAATAAATGTTATGAGAATACAATAGGTACAAATTTTTGTGGAGCAAGGATTTATACTAAAACTGTTTCCAAGTTCTCATTTGCCGAAATTCTAGTGATTACAAGTTAGACCACGAGGTAACATCTGTTAGAGAACTACTGAACCTGAATTCTATGAGTTCGATCTCTGGTGGTGTCACGTGTGTGTGCTACTTAAAAGTCTCAAACAGCGAGACAACTTTGCAGTAGTCTCTGGTTTTCAGCGGATTTCTAACTGACAGAAATTAGTGGTGTAACTGTAAATAAAGTTTGATGAAGCTATTTGGGATCTGAAAGTTGACAGCCAACGACTTGGTCGATTTATGTCAAGTTCTAACATGTTTTTGCAACCTAATTCCATTTTATATATGTCTTCCACTTTCACTGGCCATGTATCACTTCTGCGCAAGTTATATCACTGCACCAAAGATGACGCCAGATAGCAAATACCGAACTAACTTTTTTATGCCTGCTGAGAATTCATCTGCAATCATGCCGCTAGGGTTATTGCAATTCCCCAAATAAGTAAAGAAATCATCGCGTGCAATTACATTCCACGTTACCTCTGAACTAGGGTTCGATCCAGACAAATCCTGTTGTTCCTACATTTGACAGCATCAAATATTCTCAAGATTTTACTCAGGGTTCCCAGAAGACTACATTCTATTTAGCGTCTTCATCTAATCAGACTATATAGTCTAGACACTACAAATCGACGAGTCCATTTCACAGCAGTAGGTTTGATATCCATCACACGTTAGAGTAAGATAAAATAATATCATTGACATTTGCACTCCTGAAGAACACTACTGACTGTTGTCACTTTAAACGACAACTCTTGGTAAGTTGTATGCTATATTAGTCATGTTGATATCTCTGTAATTATCACAAGAAATTTATTCGCTTTCTTATAAACTGTGATGCTCAACGACTTACACCGATCCTGTGAAACTATCTTGGATGCTCATACGGTTATAGCCCAGTTACTATCTCATCACCTCTATCTTCAGAGCCATTTGGAATAAATCCACCAGTTCCTAGTCCTCTGCCTTGTTTTGGATTGAGGACAACCTCTGAAGTCTTGGCAAGATCTACATATACTTCATATTCTTATTGAAAAGCCAAACATTTCAAGACTTCGTTGCTGCTCGCTTTCCGTATACCTTCAGTCACAGGCAAAAACATGCACAAATTGATTTATGATACATGCAGGTAGACCCGAAAGTGTGACACTTCCATTTATATGGGTGATTTTCAGAAGGGTGATCTGTTTGTATCAATAGTTGACTTAATGTTAACTGTTATCATGCGAGACAGTATCTTTTTTATTCTTGAAGTTTGTGCTGGTCATTGATATAGGAACAGAACTTAGGCACTGTGATGAATAATAATTCCATCAGGGAGAAAATTTATTTTGATAAAGTTTCGGTGTTATTCGGTAATATTTACTGACGTTTCGAACACAATTTATGGCTCATATTCGTATCAAGTTGTGCTGGTCATCTAAACAAAATTGTAAAAAGTAATATCTTTCATCGATGCGCTACTCCGTGAGTACTGCTACTACACTTCTCGCCCTAGTTCAGCCCCCTTTCTTAAGCAATAAAACAACCCTACAATATAACCATAAGTGAACATTTTACGTTCAGCAGTAAATTAGAAAGTTTTAGATAAAATCCATCCTTTACTGGAAATTTATTTCTCTTTCAATACGTGAAAGCGAACAACGATTGGCTTTACAAATGGTACAAACTATTCACATAAGGTGTACCCACAGCAATAGTTTCGTTTCTATAGGAGACCTTCCAAGGTAGGATTAGTTGGGTTGCAGTGTCTGGGGTCTACATTTCAGAACGCCTTTTTAGGACAGGTTAGCGTAATTGGCTTGCTACATCCCTGTGGCCAGCAATACGATTTCTCTTTCAGTCACCCACCAATATATATGTATGTACGATGGTAACCACTGTTAGTTTAGCAGCTATACAGCTTGCCTTGTATTGTCAAAAACGACATCTATCAGTGCATTCATTTTTAAGAAAGCAAGAAGATGAGGTTGGCTGATGAACAGAAAAGTTTTGTGCGCTTGTGGAAGTGTGTAGACAGTTATTTCTTACTGGCTACCCACACTGCAACAGTTGGTTTCCTCTTTAAATACCCGCAACAAAGAAGGCATTAGTGTTATGTGACCCACGAGTCGAGGAGTCATCTGACTGTAAGGCTGATCGCCTACAGTCTTTTGGAATTGTGTCGCTAGGAAGACCTTAAAATTGTAGAGTAGGTTGACCGTTTCTAGTCCACCCTCCCAGGATTAGGAGGACAACATAGCTGACTGTCTGAATGAAACACAGACACTCCCAACGTAGTGTGGACGACACTGATGGTACGAGGTCTCCGAAACGCTTAAAATTAGCGGCTACAGACTATTGGTGGTATGTCTCACGATCATTCTCATTGGTGCAGATGCGTTTACTCCCTGTGATATACCAAACCCATCAGATTGTAATTATTCTCCACATAGTCTTTTTCTCCGACGCATTTACGTTATAGTCCTCTTGAAATTTTTCTTCTAACTTTGTGTGCTTTATGGGGTGTAGCAACCTGAATTGCTGCACTTTTGTGCGACGTTCTACGTTGAAAATTCAGTTCAGTCATTCATTTGTAGGTATTAATAGTTTACTTGTGTGAAAGGTATTGTCAACTGACAAATTAAATCGATGATTAACTGCTGACCACTAGAACCACTAAGATTATCGTAACATCTCACGTAAACTTGGTAATGTATATTGAAAAGCCAACTTCTCTTCGTAGAACCATATCGTCTGTCTTGCACTTTCAGTTTCATATTATGGAATCGACCGTATTTATTTTCGTATGCAGGTGTAACTGTTCTTCCAAGTTTCTTTAAAGTCGCAATGCGTTAATGAAATTATAACATACAATTAATCTAAGATCAGTTATTGACGAGATTGTTATCTTTAACTTTTAGTGGGTCCCAGAAATTGTACATCACTCAGCTAAAGTCCCATTTCTTCTTGTTGGAACACAATGTGATCTTCGAGGTGAAAGTGCCACTAGAACTCATCTTAAGAATAATAAAATGAAAGAAATCACTACTGAACAAGGTGAACAGCTCGCCAAAGAACTGAAAGCTGTCAAATATGTGGAATGTTCGGCCCTCACCCAGGTAAGTGCTTATTTACTATGAAACTGCTAATGGTTTGTACAATCATGCTAATTATTTGGTTATATATTCAGTTCAAGTGAAAATACATGTCGGCTACAAATTAGGCTTGGGTATCAGGTCATAAACTCTACATTATGTAAGGGGTTCTCGTCAGTAGCTGATCGTAAGCTAAAGCACATGACTAAAACAAAGGAATTAGAGATATGCTGAGTACAGAGAACAGTTAACCATATCTCTACCAACCGGCTTATACTATCTTATTATAGTATTCGTATAAACGTTAGCGCGTTTAAAGTAGGATATTTGTGGTTTTCACCTTGGTAGTGTCATTGAACTTGTCCATTTGTAGACTCAGTCTTCACGCGCAAATATGACAAAAGATGACATTTAAATTTCGTCAAGACTTCAGTTTTAAACATTTTTTCAGTGGTACGTTGATCAATATCTACGTTAAATATAAACATAGTATAGCTAACATGCCAAGAAGCATAGTTCGCGTGTGATACCTACCGTGTGTCATATGCCGAATGTAACTGTAAGTGTTCACTTAGGGTTATCTGCAATCGAAGTCCTTTTGATCTGTCAACTAAATTAGCGTGTAACCACTTTTGGAGATGTAACTCATACTGTTGAGCAATTGACATTCACCCAATGAATCGTGAGTTTTAATCCAACACTACCTTATCCAAATGTGGCAACTAGGTAGTAGCATCAACCTTTACACAATGGGTGCGACTCATAACCTGACAAGAAAAATGTATCCGGAATAACTAAATGCAAACTTTTGACCTTTTGTTTACGCAGTTAGAATTGCTTAAGGTCTTCAACTTTCTCTGCGTAATTGGTTACACAATTTTTCGGTTTGTTTGTGCAAAGGACAATCAAGCTAAAAGGATTTGTTAACATTTTTAATTCTTTTATTATCGATGGTATTCGTCCCTTGTAATCCAGTTGGAATGCAGAGCCTCAGCGTCACATCTTCACTGCACTCGGTTTTCTGTTACCACTATAAACTAGCACCACCACTACCATAAACAGTCCTTCTTTATGTCAACCTCGGATGCCTACCTCGTCGGTTTTCATCAGGGTTTCACTCAAGGGCTTGGCGTTTGACGTCACTTGAATGTTCCTTCAACGCATGTCCACACCCTTTACGGTTCTATCAGTCTGCTGTCATAGTCCCTTGTCAATTATCTTTTCTGACTGGACATCTTATCTTCAGTATTGGGCTAGCGAATGCAGCAGTTGATGAAAGTTTGCAACAGGCTGTTGGAAATGCTTTTGGTGGCGCGCGCGTGAAGTCCTTGGACCATATAAAAGCGCTGACTTGGCATTAATAGTAAATAGTCCGAAAGAAAATTCAGAAAAGTAAAATACTTTTTTATATTTTATCTATTACTATGAGGTCAGGTGCAATTTTTGCAGCAAATAGGGTATGATACTGTTTATATTAATAACATCAAATTTTGTTTTATCATGTAAGTGGTGTATGCAGTTAGTTGAGATTTGTAGTTCCAGATCAAAGTGTCTCGATGTCCATCTTACTTAAGTGTTCCGTTGCAGCTTTACATACTTTATTACGGCACGAAAGAAATCTAAGGAAATTGAGTGTTGCTAGGATAGTAAAAGCAGACGCATTGAATCTAGATGAGATAAATGTGTGTGTTACTGTTATTTGTCTTATATTTTAGCCGTCAATTCCAATAATTTATATCCCTTACAAAACATATGTCATATGCATTAATTTATTTTATTTACGTAGAGTGGCTTGAAAAATGTCTTCGATGAGGCTATCCTTGCTGCTTTGGAGCCACCACGAATTCGTAAATCAAGGCGATGTTCTTTACTGTAAAAGAATTCAGTTCATTTTTCCATTCATTATTTCCATTACTAATTTACAATTACTACTGAGAGCTACTGGTAGTAATATTATCTTATATGAAATATTAACTGTGAAAAGTGTCTTTCCTTTAGCTCCGGTCTCTATTCTTCCCTCCCTTCCCACTACTGCCTCCTACAAAGAAATACATATATATTACTTATTGTTTCCCACATATTTTACACCGAATATCTTTGTAACGATGATAATTATGATAATAATAATAATACTAATAATAACTTCGATGATAAGCATACGTTCTTTTCAGTTTGTTGCACTTGTAAACGCTTATAAAATGTTTTTTTCCAAAACATCCTTTGCACACTTTTTGAAACAGTCTTTTATTCTAGACATGTGGCCTTGTTTCCCCACTATTCGTTACTTTCTTTGCTCCACTAGACGGTGATCTTGCTGTTAATTTTTTTGACATTACTATTAATAATGCTCTTTGTTAAACACGACAATGCATCGACAATGACTTTTCTCTTTAAATTGTGAAAGGAAGGTCGGTGTTTAGTTTTGCATTTCCGATTGATTGAGTGCAGGGTTCGAGTCCCGGCGAAAACACCATCCCTGTCCATCTCACTGAGGAGGCAGGCGCACGCAAATGACGAGTCCTTAACAGGATAAAATGTACATCACCACCAACAAAAATAATATGAATTTCACATTGTTAATTTTAATCAGTATACTTGTCACCCGGAAGAATCGAATTTCATCGAAAGATTACTGTAAAGAGGTTTTACGGTCTATTATTGTAGATACCTTTTTACAGTGGTTGAGATTTTTAGTTTAAAAAGTGAGTGAGGTAATATGGTAAACGAATCTATCGCATCTTAGAGTTCAATAGTAATAATAAATTGATTATTCTTTTGAGAAGCTGTGAGTTATTGATTAAGGCTTACCCATAATCCATTCCTTTGATTACTCTACTCCATCTGCTAGGTTGCGAGTTTCAAGATAACTCGTTCCGCCATTCATATTGTATGTCCGTGATATATATATATATATATATATAATTTACCAACTATGCCAATACGTCTTAGAGTTCATAGTGTGAACTGCTGGCGTAAAATTTAGTTGTAATGGTGTCTGAAACCATTGAAATCGATAGTGAAATACTGAAACTAAAGCTTCACAACTTAGCTTTCAAAAACGAATTGAGACTCATAAATTTTGTGGTGTATTTTTTGAGGTAAGTTAAATGTTGTGAGCATTAAAAGGAAATTAATTAATTCTCTGAGCGATTGCACTTTTTGTTTTCACTATGACAATATGAATTCAATTGGCAAATGGTCTTTGCAACAACCTCATTTGCAATGTACTCGTACTTTTGTCTCCTAGACATTACTACTTGCATTTAGTTTGTTGGTTTGTGCTTTCGAAAGCATGGGGCTTAGAAAAAACACTACCAGTATAACTTCTGAAAGATTTTAGCGACTAAACTGTGATAATTTCATGTTGTTTGAATTGTATGCACCGTTGTAAACAACAGAAGTCGTGTGTTTGTAACGAAGAAATAGCACAGCGGTCACTGTTGTGTAATGGAGTCTCAGTATTACAGTTTACTTCATTGTTTTAAACTCCTGACTTTGAACCAATGGATTCAGAATTCGTCATTCCTTTGCGTTCCCAATGGAACATTGGGCTTCACTCTTGAGCTTTGAAGTTTTATTGGCATAGGTGTCTCTTTTTACGGGTGCGGTTGCTGGTTTCACGCCCAATCTTCCCTCTTTACCGGGCCTGCTACCGTCTGATCGAGGCTTTAGGAGTGCGGGAGTGAAACCCGAATCAGATGCGTGGTTAGCGTTCTACAAATGGTGGAATCACAGATTCAGAACTATACAAACGTGTTATTCACGCTTTTCGTGAACTTATACGCATTGTGACTCATTAAAATGAAGCCGGGTTGCTGATTGAACTCAACACTTGAACAGTTCACTATTATCTTCTGTCTGTATGTAAATATTTACGCACCAATAGTAAAACATTGTCAAATAATATAATTCATCTCTGTCATTATTTATGCATGAAGAGTTATCAATTTTAGACCAACAAATCAATGTGACGATATGCGCGACACAACAGACTAGGTATTTAATTTAGATTTCCTCTTAGAAAAAAGTTATCAGTAGGTCATTGAATGACTAAGAAGAATAAAGCTCTTAAGAGGATTGGACTCTAAGTCACCGTATTCATTGGATATTTAATAGTATAAAACACTAATTCCTCTGTGTTTATTAACGTTATGTAGGTGTGTTTACAAATAGTTTTGAAACTCCTATCTCTAAGATTTCCGATCATATCATTAAGTACAGCAGTTGGAGATGTTATTTTTGGTTGTACGAATGCCTGTTTTTTTTTTATAATGTACTGCTTTTTTACTGGTGTTCATCGAAATGTACATTCGTGAAGGATGGACGGTCGCTTTACAAACTAAGCATGTTGCCAAATTTCAGAGTACCAATAAAGTGCTCACTAGTAAACTTGCTTCTAGAGAGATTTCTCGAAGGTTTAATCAACAGCTGTGAATATGAAGGTTCATGTTGTATGTAAATACAGACTAGTTCGATCAGTCAGAATTTAAATAATACAAGTAACAATTTCCTAAACAATCAGATTTCACCACATTGATTGATGCCTAAATGTTAATCAGACTTCATCACGTTGATTACCACTCATTAATCAGCCCAGTGTTTGCAACATATAATTGATCCGTAATAATTTTTGTATGATTATTGTGATTATATATTCGTAATTACGACATCTCTCACTCGCTCGTTTGAAAATACAAGTTTCTGATATTAATGCGTGAACCTTTTTGAAATTGCCAGTTTGTGTCAGGAAAAATCTGCTAAGAAATCATCAAACGTTCAATATTGTTAACGTCGCTCCTGCGAAGGCTTAGTAAACATAAGAGTTCATCATTTCGGATGCAACAACAAATAGTTAGATTTACCGTATTCGATAGTAGCTGAGCTACATGACGAAATGGTTAATGCTTAATAGATTCGACTGGGGTGAAGCTGTGCCAGGTACTAATGCCAAGTTAAATCACAAACTGACATCAGCCAGAAAACTAGGAAATACTAGGCATCTGGTTTGGGACTCTTCGGTAGTCTGAAACCATGACCCTGCCAGTTATCGGAACTGGAAACTTCAGGTTACAAGGTAACCCGTTTACCATTCTGTCAGTGCGACAGAATCCAATTGCCGATGAATTTTAACTTCTGAGTATTTGCGATATGCAGCATCACTTGCTGCCAATATCATTTGCAATTTTCTGTCCTCATACCGGACTTTGTGTACCCTACTGGTCATCAAATTCTCAGTACAACTGGCTGTAGTCAGTCAATAGTGAACAGTAGATTAGTTTTCAGGTGCTGGTTCGTGGGGATTTGAATTCATGTTTATTTGTGTTCCGTCTCATTGGCTGGATGGTTAAAAGGTTAGCCTCATAAACTAAAGTTCCTCCTTTCAACGTCTGATGGGGGTCATGAATGCATAATGTTGATTAGTCCCAAACTAGGATGAAGCACCTCTCCAGTAATCCCTGTTTTTCAGTCGTTCTTCAACTAGTGTCACTTTGTGAACTCACTTGAAATCAATTGAACAAATAAACACTTGAATAGTGAGTTGTTTCTTTGTTTTTGAAGCAGTCAGAAGAAAGACATTCACTTGAGTTATGATCATCCTAGTTGCCCCTCTGTTGTTATTTTTAAGGCCTCAACTAGGTAATGTCTGGAGTTTTTATTCGTTTCATAGAATTGGCGAAATCATTACATCAGAGTAATTTAGTTCACTCGTATATGCTAAGTATAATAACAATTTCAAGTACTTTTACTATTTGGTATGAAATTTTTTTTTAATTATTTGGATCTGACAAAACAGAAATATTCTGTATTTATGTTGTAAACACATGTTAGCATGATCTGTTTATCGATCATACTTATTAACGTTAGTGATTGTGCATTAATAAGTGACAAATCGATAATATGACATGCACGTAATATGCATGTGTGTGGTTGTCTTAACATACGTGTGTCTACATTAGTATGAATATTTCAGTGAAGTTGTATGTCGAGTAATTGCACACATGATTATGATTCATATTCACACTAGTCAGATGCAGTATTAAAAATGGTCATAGTGAATAGAGCAAATGTCTATATAGTGTACAATACGCTTGAATGCAACACGAAAAGTAGTGCGACATACACTACTTATATAAATAATCTTGATCTACCATAGTCGGAAAGTATGTACAGCCTGGTATATGTACTTTGACAAAAACAGAGTGATTCCTTGAGCATTCCATGCTAATAATGTTTCATCCTCTTAAATATTTTTCATTTCAAAAAAATCATATAATACGTAAGCTGACTGAAGTTAGAAGTATTACTTATTAAAATCACGTGCTTTTGGTAAAATTCATGAATAATCCCCATCCAGGCATAAATGAAGAGGCTCTTTTGAGTGACTTTATTTCTTTAGCTGTACAATCACCTCTATCAACAGTGGGACAAGTAATTTAGTGAGTTGTAATCAGGATGTACATAGGAACGAAGGAAAAAGCTCCGAAAGGAATTCGACAATTATAAAGAGTTAAAAAACAAACAAAATAACACGGTTGTTACCCCGATAGTAGAAGTGGTGGAGTTATTTTCTTTTCTATGCATGGATCCGCTTTCTCCGTCAGAATGGCTAGAGCCTCAGCAATGCAAAGGAGACGAAAGCGTATTTCCTTTGGCAGGTTACCCTCCACCTTGTAGATTCCACTGAGGGAGGAGTTTCTCAAGATAGAATGACCGGTGTTGACAAGGTGTCCAATTATCGCACTTCTTGTAATGACACTGCAACCATGCGGAATAGTGCTCTGGAACCATTTTATACAGGATACGCGTCCAACAGCGAATACACTTAACATTAGCATATAGAAGTGATCAGGTAAGAGATCTCGTTTCTTAGGCTTC